TATAATAAAGATATGTGTTGCACATGTGGTTTCAGTAAGAATGTCCCTCATTTGAAACCTATTATACATCTTTGCCCTTTAGTTGCCTATGTGGCAGTAGCCTTACTCAGTCTGCATTGCCTTTTCAGGAAACAGCCACAGACCTGTAGTCCCAGCCACTCCTCAGGCCGAGGCAGAAGTATCTCAAGTTTAAGGCCAGCCTGGACAACATAGTGAGACCCTGTCTCAAAATGCATCTTTACCAAAAAAACAAACAAAACTATGCTAAGGATGTAACCCAGTTGCCTAGTATTTGTGAGGCTGTGGGTTCAATCCTCAGTAATGAAGAAAAAAGCAATCGCAGTAGATGACAGCAGATGAAACACCTTGAATTAGCAAATCAGTGCACATTGGCCTGCTTACGAAGCAGGTCACTTGAAAACTTTGGCTGCTTTGCCATTCTAAAATGGGCTCTGTGGCTGTGGCCCAATCTTTCCGGTTAAGGAAACCTGAGGTTCAGGGATGAGGTTGAGACATAACAATATGTTTTAGTGACTATTGGGATCAAGTTTGGTGACTAGAACACCAAACCTGCACTGACCAGCCGAGCTAACATAGTCCTGACAACACTGTTGTGTTCATAGGCAAGACTGATATTTACAAAACCACCCAGTAGCTAGATGAGACCTCTGAGACCAGAGTCACAGCTTCCTTTGTGAAGTAACTGGGAATCTGACTCTACAGTTGCTGAGACCAAATACCATGATCAAATGTAACCTGGGGCAGAAAGGGTTTCCTTTGGCTTAGGGTTCCCGAGAGCTAGAGTCCATCATGGCAGGGAAGGAATAGCTTGACAGCAGGAGTGAGAAGCTGGCTGATCACATTTCGTCTGCACACAAGGAACAGAGAAAACAGGAAGAGGAACAAGGCAATAAGCTGTCAAAGCCCACCACCAGGGGCGCACTTCTACCCAGCAAGGCTCTACCTCCTTAAGGTTCCCTGACCTACCCCCAGACAGTGCCACCGATTAGGTACATTTCTTCAAATTGGGGTTCTTTTCATGCTAACTACTACACTGAGTTTCTGTGGAGCCTGACGTTTCCTTCCTAACCCTGATGCATTGGTATCTAACTGTTAGCCTATCAAAGGACGGCCGTGGCAGAGCATGTTCCTGTTGGGTGTTGCAAGGATCTTCCTTGGCCTGCTTCATTGGAAAGACTATTTTAAACCATGTCTTCTAATCCCTGCAGACACACTTTTGAATTAAAAATAAGATTAAGCAAAAGAGATGGCCTTGTTGAGAACATGCCAGCATTCCTTAGGAAATGAAGATGAGTGGGGCTGAGGGGCTAGGCCAGTGGCTAAAGTCCTTCCTATGCACAATGAGGATTTGAACTTAGATCCTCAACACCTGTTTGAAAGCCAGGCATGGTGTGCTTGTAACCCCCAGTCACCACCCCATCCAGCACTGGGGAACCGAGACAGGAGAACTCTGGAGATTTGCTGACGAGCTAATATAGCCATAACAGCAATCTCCAGGTTCAGTGAAAGACCCTGTTTCAGAAAAATAAATAAAAGTGTATAATTATAGAGGAAGACATCTGACATCAACTTCTGGCCTCCACATGTGCACATATGGGTGAGAGTAGCACACACACACACACACACACACACACACACACACACACACAACATACAAACAGAAAATAGATAGCTTTTCGTTTTCTTTTAGAAATACAAATGTGGATGGGAGAGTTAGTGCCTGCTAAGCAAGCAGGAGGACTTGGGTGCTGGTCCCCAGCTCTCATGTAAAGAGCCAGGTGTGCTGACCAGGCCTGCAACCCCAGTGCAGCACACTGGACAGAGGAGGGTGCCAGATGCTTATTGATCAAACAGCCTACTCCGTTAATGAGCTCCAGGGTTAGTGAGAGACCCTGTCTTCAAAACTATGGTAGAGAGTGATTAATGGAGATACCCTGGTACACTCATCCACACACAAGTGCATACACCGAAAGGGAAGTGTGGCACTGGGTAAAGCTCACTTGTAGAAGACATGCTTAGCATGTATGAGACCCAGGTTTTGTATTTGGTGTGACTTGACCGGGCAGCTCCACAGTGTGGGATGACCAGCAGCCATTGAAAGCGTATCATTTGGTTTCATTAAATGAATATGTCCTTGGGGCAGTTGGCATCCCTCTCTGAGCCCCAGAGTGCTCACTGTAAAATGATCACAAGCTCCACTGTAAGCTACAGGGGCCCCAGCAGGACTGTATCACTCAGCAGGAGTCACTTCACACTGGCTGCAGACTCTGCTGTCTTCCACTGGTGAGTACATCCTAATTGCTTCTTTCCGGATGCTTCTCCTGAGCTCTGGAGACTCGGCATCGCTGAACGCTTGGACAGAGAAACAGAGACCTTAAGTGACTTGTATAATTGCCTCCTACAATTATCAGGAGGAGACCAGACTAGAAACAGGGGCCATGAAAGAGCCCTGGAGACCAAGTGTTCATCAGTGACTTTTGAAAGTTAAATGGTAGCTACCGCCTACATGTTGGATTTATATAATTTGACATGATAATGTCCCAAGTGAATACTCACTCTAAGCTATTTTAAATTGAAGAGTGTCTTTCAAAATCAGTGAAATTTTCAAATATATAATTTTATTTTGCAGATTAAAAATCTACAGAATTCATTTCCTACCTTAGGTTCTCACCTGCGTGCTTCACGGGTGCAGCAAGGGAAGGAGCCCCCTCTAAAGTGCTTGTAGGATCTGGGGATATATTTGCTGGTGTACTTGGTAGAGCAGTTCTCCAGGCTGTGCAAAGAAAGAAAAGTTAGTTGGATTAAGTACCAGTTATTTTTCATGTAAAAGAATAGACTTTGAAACAGATCATGCCCAGAAAAAAAAAAAAAAAGTTGCGTCCTTTCAGTTTTTTCCTAATGTCTTTATAATCTGTGGGCACAATATCCTGCTTTATGTAGCGTATTTATCTTTGTCCAAGTAGATGCTTTAGTGACCACAGTCCAGACCATCATGCTGCTTTTTGTTTGTTTGTTTTTGTGTTTTGAGGTCCAGGCAACTGCTGTTATCACCAGCATCTTGGTCCCTGTGTATTCATCGTCACCATTCACTCAGGGAACCTTAGGTGATACCTGACACAAAAAGGCAGCCATGTTTGTGGTTATGGTTTTTGTTTTTTAAAAATAAAGGCCATAAAATTTACAAACAGTTAGGAAATAATAATACACTCATGACTTTTATTAAAGTTTACCTGCCTCGTGGGTAACAAGACATCTTTGCCCCTAAACTAGTCCATAATTGCTTCCTTTCTGACCTCTAGACAAGGGGACTGTCTACAAAAATGCACTTTAATATTTAGATGTGTGTGTGTGTGTGTGTGTGTGTGTGTGTAGTGTACCATTGTGCAAGCCCCACATACCAATGTGTGAAGGCCAGAGGTTGATATGTATCTTCCTCTATAGCTCTTTATCTTATATTTTGATACAGGATGGTCTCTCACTAACCCTGGGGTTTGCCATTTCTGCAAAATAGCTGACTAGCAAGCCCTTGAGACCCACTTGTCCCCTCTCCCCCAGGACGGGGGTTACAGATGTCTGTCACTGCCTATGCCTTTCACATGGCTGCTGAAGGTCTGAACCCTGGTCTTCATGTTTACACAGCAAGCACATCCCCCACTGAGCTATCACCCCAGCTCTTACCATGGCTCTAGAATGTGGGCAGTGGATCCCTGATCCCCAAGGCCATCTCATCACCTCTGTTTCAAAGATGCTGTGGGTCTTCTCTCAATCTCTAGGATAACAACTCTCTGGAAAGTGTCCCGTGTTGATGATCCCTGGGACTGTGTCTCTTCGGGTCATTAGGGTCAGTGGCTGGTGAAGAATGTTCTAAATTCTAGATCCCAGTGTGTCAGTTGTGAGAGAGGTGTTTCCCCTCTTAGGAAGACCTTGATTGCTCACCCACAGCCAGACATGGCTTTTGAGCTTTGTTTGTGTGGTGAAGTATCATTTGATGCTAACAAGGATCCCAGTGCCTTTGAGTACAGACTGCTAAGTTGGCAGGAAGAAAGAGAAACAATAGTGGTAACAGAATGTCTGAATACCTATAGATCAACACACCCCAATCCCAGGAACTGTTCTGGAAAGCCAAAGTGCACTTTTTTTCTCCCAGAGAATAAACCTGTAGTGTGTTGCCATCTAGTGGAACATATAGAAAATAGAGATTAGTGTATCATGGCCATGCTGTTCACAAGAGCTGCTTGCGTGAGCTCAGTAGAAACTACTGAAAGTATTTTTTTTTTTTTTTTTAGGCAAGAAATTCTGGGGGAAACCAAGACTGATTGTTAATAGTATTCTCTAAAATAACTGAATGATGCTGTTTCCCAAGGGTGTGTGGTTATTTACCACCAGGGATTATAGGGTTTTAAATCAATCACCAGGAGGAGGAGGATGCATTCTCATTGCCATTGGCATAGCATACAGGTTTTTTTTTTTTTTTTAATCTGAAGTCCTGAACAATGCCTTCATGTTTAGAGGATATTTTTATACTTTTCACTATGTGCTTTTAAAGTGACCAATACCTTTCTTCTGTACTTTACTTTTTATTTTAATTTATTTTAGTTTAATTGCCCCCAAATAAAAATTCTACTAGGAAGGCGGGTGATGGTGGTGCATGCCTTTGATCCCAGCACTCAAGAGTCAGAGACAGGAGGATCTCTCTGAGTTGGAAGCCTGCCTGTTCTACAGAGTGAGTTCCAGGACAGGCTCCAAAGCTACAGAGAAACCCTGTCTTGAAAAACAAAAACAAAAATAAAAACCTATTAGGAGAAGCATGCACATGTCTTCACACACAAAAAAAAATATTCAAATTCTAGGCAGCATCTCCAATGTCCTGTTGGGAGGCTTTAGACACATGTGCTATGAAAACCTACGTAGTTATATTGTGGAATATCTTCCAACACTAATTGGATTTGTTTGCTTCTTTGTTGTTTTGCTGGTGTTAGATCACTCCCTGGTGCCACAGCAGCTGAGTGTGCCTCGAATCTGAAGAAACTCTACACTGTGCAAACAGTACAGGTGAGAGTGAAAAGGACATACTGGGTCACTCAGGGGTATATTAGACACTGCATCACCCAACTTGAAATTTTCTTTGCTTTGGGAGCCCTTGCTCAGAGCTCCACCCTGGAGTTGCCCTTTAGCAACTGTTTATCCATCTACCTCAGGGGCAGGCTTTCTCTAGCCCTACCTGAAATTCCATCACCAAAATCTTTCAGTGATATGCATAGGAGGCAAGAGTGAAGGTTTTTAAGGTGTTCATCTATGCTCCTTGTAGACTTCTATTGGTCAACCACACTCTGCCTCTGTTCCTTTAAGTTTCTGTATAACTGGTATGTAACCGTGGCAACTACCTCCATCAGTCACTGTGAAGACTGAGTATGATCACCTTTCCACTGTATTTGGCAGGATACTTGGTGTTCAAGAGACCCCAAACAAGTTCATAATTCTATTTGACCTCTATCTGTCTCTCTGTCACGTGTGTGTGTGTGTGTGTGTGTGTGTGTGTGTGTGTGTGTGTGTGTATGTGTATGTGTGTGTATTTGTTTGTTTGTGCATGAGTACAAGTGTGAAAAGGTCAGAGTCTAACCTTGGGTGCCATTCCTCAAGCACAGGGTCTTTCATTGCCCTAGAACTTGACTTGTAGATTAGGCCACCTGGCAAAGACCCATTTGTTTCTACCCCCAGTTCCCCATTACCGGGAGTAGAGATGGACACCACTACACCTACGTTTTTAAATATTAGTGCTGATGAGCCAGGCAGTGGTAACACACACCTTTAATCCCAGCACTTGGGAAGCAGAGGCAGGGGGATCCCTGTGAGTTCAAGGCCTGCGTAGTCTACCGATTGAGTCTGGGACAGCCAGGGCTACACAGAGAAACTTTGAAAAAACAAACAGAGTATCAGTGCTGGTGATCACACCTTTATAATATTGGTCTAGCCATTTCCACAGACTTGTTCTTTCACTTTCTACTCCTGAAGACAGTTTGCAAACCACGATTTACTTTGTTAATTCCATTCTCAAGCAAACTCTACCAAGTTTCTCTCCCCCAGTGTCCTTTCTAGCTGCAGATACAAGGCTTTTGAGGCTGCATCAAAGTCATGCTGGCTATATGTCATAGATTTCTAGAAGGCACAGTTTATAAGCATTTTCTCCTTGTGCCCTAAATTTGGTCACATCTTGTAATTCTATTAGATAGGCATCCTGATTGTGTCCCATACAGAGTGAGCACAGACTTCCTTTTCTCTTTCAGACCCTGCTACCAGCATCAGGGCTAACAGATTGCTCTTTCATACTTACACAGCCCCAGGTGTTAAGCAGCATGAATGGTCCCTGTGAACACAGTAGAATGGTGTAAGGACAGTCCCAACCACGGACCACTTCTCATCCTCTTGGGAAACTGACATACACATGAAAAACAAATTGTGTTGCTCTAGAGTCACCGTTCAGTGCTGAGTGCAATAATATAGAGGGGCTGCCCAGAAAACTAGACACCCCCACCCAAGAGTCTCCGGAAGACCTCCCCTTTGCTGCTCTTTGGTGAATTTGTAGACTTTTTGTTACTCTTCCCAGGAGCCACTTTCTAAAGCAGAGCACTTGATTTTAAGGCCTACCTGCCTGAGGAAGCTCTTCCACCCTGCTGGGGTTTTGAGGGATTCCTCCTTTCTTCACTCTGTTGTGACTTGAGAGCCTTAGAACGGTCTGTGGGATCCCAGGATGGAAGCTTGAGAGTGACCTTCCCACCACAGCATGGTCATGGCACATGCCGCAGGGTTTGCATCCGGCAGTATATCTGTTAGGCTCCTTCAGGACCAGTTTAAAGACCTGGGATTGACACATACCAGGGGAGACTTTTCTCTATTGTACCGAGATATAATTGAGCAGGATGCAGATTTTCCTAGTTTGGATTTTTAAAAGCTAAGGTGCACATGCCCTCACTTGCATGTCTTCACAGCCCTTTCCCTTCAGACTCTTCTCCCTTTGCAACCACCATTCCTGCTCTGTAAGTGCAAGTCCTTCCATCTGAGACGGAGTCAAGTGGAAGCATGCAGAACCATTCTCTGCTGTATCTGACCTCTTTTTACGCAGTCAGTGCTGAAGGCTGGAATGAATGAATGAGAAAAGAATGAGGGCACGGATTTTTCTGTTCCCTGTGCACTGTTCTCATAAAGCTGGCCGTGTATTTTCAGTGGGACAGAAATGTGGTTCTTGGGAGGTCCATGGCCAAACCTTAGTATTTATGTGTCTGAAGCACAGACACATGTGTGGTCTAAAGATAAACAAAGAGTTTCCCTATGGTTGGAAATTTTTTTTCAGGGTTCCTTCAAGATGGTGGGAGGGGACAGTGATGAAAAAGAGGTTGTGAAATACCTCAAGTTCCTTATTTGTGCAACTAATATGAGAATGGTGTCTGTTTCATGAGGCTGACTGGGGGTGAGAGCGGATGCAGCTCTCAGTGGGGCTTGTGTTTGTAAGCCCTCGTAATATGTTGCCAAGTGTTACTAGGTTACAGGAACCTGCTCCTTTGCTGCATAACGTATGGATTGGGATGCAGTGAAGTCACACTGAGTGTCATAGATGGCACTTGGTAACAGGTACACATTTCTTTTTTAAACCTCTATATATTTTATTTACTCGTCTTCCATGCAAGAACAATCATGACAGATGTTATCATGCTGATGTGAGGATGAGATGTAAAGTAAAAATGCCCAGTAAGTGGCCGATGCCAATAGTGTGCTGGTCTTTCATCACCCATCTCCTGGGCTGCACCCCTCTGCCACACTTCATGTAAGAATATTATACACCCCAGCTCCACAGTCACTCCTGCCAAGTGGATAGTCTCAGATGACACCACTATGACCTTTTATTTATAAAAACAAATTTGTTTTGTCTGTAACTTTTGGTAACTCGGCTGTGGTTGCCTTTAGCATCTCAGGAATGGTCCTTAGTGCTGAGAACTAGCAGGGGCAAGAGCATTTGAGCACACAGGAAGGCTTTCCTCCTGCTTTCTTTATTTCCTGTCTGTATCTTGATGTAAATTCACTCTGCTACCATAGCATTTATTTGAACATTTGCCTAATGGTGTCTGTGCCCCTCCCCACTATGTTTCGATGAAGTTTTTAAGAGCCATGTGCTACAACCATGGCTTAACATCAGACATTACCTCTTTTATTACCCTTCCTGCAAATTCAAGTTTCAGGACGGGGTTTAGGAGCAGGATGAGTAGAAAATTATTATGACCCAAAGCTGCAGTGGAAACAGCTGCTCATTGACTCTCTAAGGTCTGAAGTGCCTCTGCTTCTGGGTCAGCTCAGTTTTCCTTCCCCTGTGTAAGGGATGGAGCAGGAGAAGCATCTACAGGTTCCCACGACCTCTGCCCGGAACACTTCCTGCAGCCACAGTAATTCTCTGCAAGAGTTAAATTTGTTGGCTGCTTTCTGTCTTCCTTAGAACATTCCACTTTTCACTTTAGTGTGTTTCCCACTTTTTGGACACATACAGGTTTTGCCCGTTTCTCTCATGTCTCTACATCCCCAGTGAGCCAAGTTTAGAAGAGAGAATGGCTTCTGAGCTTGCCCAGTCTACGCTGGGGCAAATTGAAGAGCTACCAGTCCAGTGTGATTTGCAAGGGAAGGCTGGCTTGTAGCACGTTTTCCAGCATTGCCTGCCTGTAGACTTCTTTTGTTGTTGTTGTTGTTGTTGTTTGAGGTAGGGTTTCTCTGTGGCTTTGGAGGCTGTCCTGGAACTAGCTCTAGTAGACCAGGCTGGTCTCGAACTCACAGAAATCTGCCTGCCTTTGCCTCCTGAGTGCTGGGATTAAAGGAGTGTGCTGCCACCACCCCCTGCCTATAGACTTTTAACTCCACTTCTGTAAGTACTCCTTTACAGAGTTCCACCCCAGACCTCAGTCGTTTGTGTTATCACCTTCATGAATTGTCCCTATGGCCTCACTTTTCCTGTGTTCTACCTAGGATATCCCATAGACGAATTAGTACTGAAATTTTCAGAGAACAGAAACTGTGTGTTTCTTCTGCAAGTGAAATTTCTGTATCATTCTTCATAACCACAAGGCAGGTAAAGGCCCTTGCCACCAAGTCTGACCATCTGAGTTCAATCCCCAGAACCCACAGGATGGAAGGAGAGAACCAATTCCCACAAGTTTTCCTCTGAACTCCATATGTACGGGA